GGATACAATCTACTAAAAAAAATCTAAACATTTTTAACTCAACTCCACTATCATCAAAATTATCAATATAATTAAATAATTATCAACCAATTATTTATTTATTTTTACACATCACACCAACTTTAATTTACTATTCATCCACTCACATAATTTTACCTAACCACCGCTTCAAATCATCTCTGTCATACTTTTACATCAAATTAATTTTAATTATTTTATTTAAAATATTATTTTAATTTACCCACGAATAACTAACCATACCACATTTTTCAAAATTAACCAAATCAAACCAGAAAATCCAATCAAATCAAAAAATATTATATCCAAGCATGTACTTACCCATCAAGATTCCCAACATTTTGTTCTAACATGAACCATTCCATCCGTTTACGCTTTTCTTACCAACAGAAGCTAATCCTCCAACCGGACAACAAATCTTCTCCGAGCCACGACCTTTTACCTTCGGGTAGTGGTCTCTATCCACGGACCTGTCTGGACTCGGACATCACCGAGGCCGAGAAGAAAATCCAAGCCCCTTGGGCCGTTTTCTTGAATTCGCCAAATCCTCTCAGATACTAAGCGACCGAACCGCATACGGTTCGGGAGGCAGCATTCATGGGGACCACGACATGAACTCGTACCTAAAGTCCATTAGGAATGTCATTCCTCAGGAGATGGGCCGGATCCGTAAAGCCCACATTGTGAGCTCCCGTCTTGTTGGGCAGCATTCTGGGCAAAGGCCCGATAAACTTCTTGCGCTTCATGAAGAATGGTAGGAATTGTACTGAGGCGGTTTAGTCCAGTTAGTTGGGTCGCAACGCATGCATTTGCTTATGGTGCTTTTTGTTCCCTGCTAAGTTTTTGCTAATAATATTGGGGAACTCTAGTTTATTCAGGTTCCACTGATTGATTAAACAAAAGAAATTAGATAAATTTTTATTAGTTCGGCTGAAGAAAGATAGAAATGTATTATCTTGTTGTGTACTGTACAAGATGATTAATTATGCTATATGGATACCAAATTTACATGGGTTTCACTTGAAATTTCAAATGACCTTCATCTTATACATCATCTTTTATCTCATCAGCAAAGAACTACTCCATATTGTCTACTATATAACTGACCAAAATTCTACTAACGAACAATCTACCAACAGTTTGCAGCTATTTGGAGAGTGTAATCTCCAAAGCATCACCTTCCAAAAGGAAAATCGATATATGTCATCAAATAGTGCATTAGAAAAGCGATAATTCTCAACATTTATTCAGACATATATAATTTTGCTATGGAGGCAATCTCAACATTTATTCTAAATGTTTACACACAATGCAGCCAACATATCATCCTATGTGGAAAGGATTAGCATAAAAGATTTATAAATCGATTTTTCCAGCTAAATACCAGGAATGAACGGCAAGACTGCCGAAAGCAAAGATATTAGCAAGAGACGATAATCCATGAATCATTCCGAATTTCTTGTTCATGGCAGCAAGCTTTGGATTTTTCTTGGCAACTTGTTGGTTTTTGGTCCACCCAACTTCTTCCCCTATATTTGCTTCTCTCTCTATCTTGTGCCTTTGTTTCATCATCTGCTCGTCATCACAAATATAAACAAATAAATAAGAGTCGGCTCTAAACAGAACAAAGCCATTAGTGTTCCCAAAAATTGCTCAGATTAACCATTAAAACCAATAAAATCAAATTTGAGAAAAATCTATAGAATTATTAACCATATTCCTTCATTCTCCTTCTTTCTGGCAACACACATTTTCCCAAAGTAAAAGTACACTATTACTCTACACCTAACATTTCAACAAAGCTCTAATTTATGCATATGCATTTCTAATGAAAATCATACGACCTAAATCGATACAAGCATCCATCATGAACAGCACAATTTCAGATCATCTGAAGAAAGTGAGAACCAAAAGTAGAATTGTCCTTACCTCTATCGTCATGGGCGTAAAGATAATAAGATTGCTGAGGTTGAAAGTGAAGGCCGCCAGTAGAAATCCAAGCTGGTACTTCTCAGTTGACCCTGAAGTTTTCCAAGGGTGCAAGTACCCAAATGACCCAACTGCCACTGCACAGCAAACCCCGACCATGGAGAAGTATGCTGGAAACATCTTACTTTGCAAATTCCCAAACTGATGCCTCGGCAAATTTCTATCAAATAATGTAATCAAATATTCAGTCAGACATTATTTTCACACACAAATTCTTGTGTTAGGCACTCTAATCGTCAGGCGAGTTGACCCACTTCATTTTTTTAACAAAAATGCTACTATGGAATGCCATAATTTTGTTCATGTAGTCTTCCTTGAGGTATTTAAGTTATTTAACAATGGCGATTTGTTTGTTAGAACTTTTTAAGACTTGATGAGATTTCAAACACAAATCTCACCTTTACACTTGAGATTTCTACGGATTTCACTAAAACCAACAAATCATAAGAAGTCTTGGATATAAAAGAAAGTCTTAAAATGTAACTCAAAATCTCCAACAAATACACCCTCCTTAGAGTAAGACATTCAAATTTGGAAGTATGAGCATCTGTTGAAAGAGTAAGACTGATTTTCACAACCCATCCCAAAAAATTCAACTACAATAAAATAATCACAATTTGCATAAATTAAGACAAGTTAAGCTTCATAATAAAAAAAAATTATCAAACTTTATGCTTAATTTCACTCCCCTTCTCCAAAAGCCAACATTTAGTATTTAGAAATTTCGACAACAAATACCACAATAACTAATATATATTGCTTAAATTCCCAACTGAGATGAACTTTTTATAATACAACAACAAGATAAATTTGGGGCAGCTGCTACTTTAATTACTAGCTAAAGATAAGGCAAAAAAAAAAAAAATATATCATTACTTGAACATGATAATGCCGCCAATGAAAGTCACCCACAAGGCGGCTCCCCAGGCGGTGGAAAAGCAGAGGAGGTGAGCCAATTTCAGTCCGGTCACGAGCACCGGCGAGTTCTGGCCGTCCGATTTCGATCCGAAAGTTTCCGGCGAGAAAATTACCCCGATAGCCAGAAACGCCACCGCGGTTAGAAATCTTGTCATCCAAGCCATCTTATTCTTCTTCTTCTTTACTTTCTTCAGAATGGAAGCTTAAAAAAAATATAATAAAATTGAGCAAATTTATTGGCTCTAACCTCAGAATCCACCTACTACTGCTTCCACAAGTTCAGTACTTTCAATTTAGCCATCGCGTGAGGCACGAGGCGTGGCAAAATTTGGGCTCTATCATAATGGGCTACTTAAAAAAATAGATTAAGAAGTTTTGTTAATGGCCTAAAGTTCTATTAGGGCCTATATGATCTTGTCAAAGGCCCAGCACAAACCATATACAATGAAAGTCGTTTGTGCTTGGATAGTAGAGTAGTAAACATTTTAATTTTTTACATGTTACTATACTTCTTAAAATAATTATAATTAATAAAAGTTGTTGACCTCGAGTTTTACTAAAAAGAAAATGTGCCAGCCTGCGTTTGATGAGCCGAGTTGGGTTCACAGACCGGCCATCACATAAAAAGGAACGGAACCGAATCCAAAACAAGGACTTCAACCTAAACTAGGCAGACATGTCGAGCAGAAGGCGATAAAGTAAAGACCATTGATTTCATAATGATAAAAAAGTACATCTCTGTCAGCTAACCTGTTGGCCTATTAGTCATAGACCTATGGGGTAGAACGACACATTAAATGCGTATGTCCAATCAGTTAAAGATTGGATGTATGACCCGATGAACAATTTTCGAGCTACAGTTTCTCTAAATATCGTTGTAGTAGGTCCAAAAAGATGGGATGAAAAATTGCACAACCCACAAGTTATAAACTCTGTCAAAAATACTAGGGGACACATTCGCCCGAGCTATGATATTATCGGCCGTCCTAAGTCGTCATTACACTATCAAATTCTTGCATTATTTTTCATTTTTTTTTCTGTTCGATTCTCCCCACAACAAATACACGTATTAATATTAACTAAACATTTGGAAATTCAATTAGAAACATTTCTTAATTTCTAATAAACTGTTGATAGAAAACACTAATCAGCAAAAATAAAATAAACCATACATGAATTATGCATAAATGATTTATTCACCAAAAAATAATGATTCAAATATAAAAATAACTCGTAAGTCAACCATAAATCAACCATTAATAGATAGTTTTTTTCCCTCTACATCTTAATAAAGGGGAGTCCAGAGGGGTGTGTGAGTGCCACGTGGATATTCAGACTCTCTCATATGCTAATAACCTCAAAGAAAAAGACATAAATACCACTGGAATCTTGGAGACTCATTAAAAATGTGAGCACAATTATGTCCTTAAAAGAAATAGACATTGGAATCTACTCAAACGCCACTAAGAAATAAATATTTATATCTAGAAATTAAAATAAATAATTTATTATATAAATAAATATTTATAATAATAAACTTATAATATTAAATGTATAATATATTATAATATATAATAATAATCTTACATAAATATTTTTAATATTTATAATATTTTATATAATTCGAATTTGAAAACTAAAAGTCGTGTTTTAACAGTCTTGTGTAGGATATTTTTTTTACCGTATAATTTGGTTATTTTACCAATGTTTTAGGCGTTCGTAAACATAAATTATTTTTCGATAGTCTTTTAATACAATTTTGGATCTATTTATTTAAAATTTAGAAATATCATCTTCAAACATAAATATTTTGGTATTTATAGGTCAGTTGTGCATCGCACAACCAAGTGATTCCTAGTAATTTAATACACTTGGCATTGAAAGAAAGGAAACATTTTAAACAAATAAAAATGAAATTAAAGACAAATTATGTAACTTTTATTTTTCTTACGTACGGATCATAGTAATGTATTATTGGCTTTGACCTTTTAGAGACCGGACGATTTAAAATGTGAATGTATGAAAATGGGCTAGGGAGCAATTGCGGCTCTGAAGCGGGCTCAATGGTTGGGGCCCAAGTTAATTTCATTTGTTTTATTTTGTCTTTTTCTGGTTTTTTTAATAGGCCATACTGAATTTGGATCTGGGCCGGCCAATCTTAATTGTAACCACGCGATCCACTGTCCACACCTTCGGGAGTGTGGGCCCGGCTGTTGACAAACAAACTTGATGGGATCTACTTCTATTTTTGTTAGTGTATTTACATTACTCTTTTTTAGTGAAAATTTAACGTGGTTCATGAATTATTATTTTATCAAAAGGAATTCTGTAAATTCTTTTTTGTTAGAATAATTTAGGAATTTTTTAGGTATAAATATACTATTTTTTTGCTTTATGAATTGTTATTTTGTCTTTGCCTCTAAATTGCACTAGTTTTTAGTTAATAAATGAATCACTTATGATTTATTTTTGAATGATTTTTTTTTTTTTACAAAAATATTAAAAATTACAGTAAATATGTAAAACCTGCATTTTACTGCCAGTGTTAATGAATATAGATAGATATAGATGATGTGTGTGAATAAACTAGGAATCTTGATTAATAAACTACGAATCTTGAAAATGCTCTTGATTAATAAATGTTTTATTTAATGAATTCTAAAACTATGTGCATTTTATTGCATTATCATCCCGCATAACTATATATGCCTAGTAATTCATCTACTTTAATTGTGTGTCAGAAAAGCCAATGAATCTGTTAAAGTAGCCTTGCTTTGGGTAGCATACTTAATTTCGTTTAAACGGAATAATTTTAGCAAACCAATAAACTGAGATGTGAAGGGATCGATATGTCATATGTCTGTCAAATGGTCTTAATTTATCAATTTAATCAACTAAAACACAATTTAAATTGCATTAATACACTAGCTCACCCCATTATATAAAATCGGGAAATGATACAGTCCCGTTACGAAATCATCCTGTCGGGATTTTTAACTGTTAGATCACCATGTAATCGTTGTGGATAGTTGATCTAACGGTTACAAACTCCGACGGAATGGTTCCGTAACAGGACAGCAGAATATCCCTAAAAAAAATCAACTAACTATTGTTATTAGTCAAGACTTAATGGTTAAATCAACATTAATTTGCTATAGATCATGAATAATCAGCAATTATTATTAATCAGACTTACAGGTCAAAGAGTCATATTTTGTGTCACATTCTAAAATACCACATATTTTGTAGAATAGGTTCACTTATTTCTTAAACATATGATGATTTCGACTCACCTAACGATTATATTAAATTACACGATAAATTTGTGGTTATTCAGATCAATTTATATGAAGAAAATTAATATGCTGGATTTTTAATATTGATATTTTAAAATATATATATATATATATATATATATATTTGTGAAATTTTTATCTTTATTTGTTATACATTTATTAATACCAATATATTCTCATATTTTTTTTTTGGTACAGGGACTTTCCGATTTCCGAATCCACAGGGGAACCGACTAATGCCCGATTTCCGAATCTACAGGGGAACCGACTAATGTGTATTTGACGTGACAAATTGATTCCTTACAGGTCATTTCATATTTACAGATACATATTTATAGGGTACGTATGCACGTGATTAATCTCTACCCTTTTTCTCTCCTTTTATTTTGCAATCCAAACAGTGCGCAGCAAGCATGAAATATATGCTCTCAGTCATTATTTCATCATGTTCATAATTATGCTCCACACCCTCTCTTTTTTCATGTCCTCCCTTTTTTCCCCCTCATTAATCAAAATTCATATTTATAACTAATCAAAATCTCAATAAAAAACAAGATATATATTATGTAATATATGTAATTAATCAAAAATTCTATGGAGCCATCGAATAATTTTTTTATGGAGCCATCGATCGATTATGCATTGACACATGTCCAAAGTGTATTTCTTGTAGAACACTTGTCAATACACTATTTATTAATAACTATGGATGACTCCATAAGTTGAGTCATCTGATGGCTCCGTAGCAAGACTGTGTAATTAATATGTTGAATTTGCAATTTGTAAGTACCCATCAAACACATATCAAGATCTCAAAATCTTCCAATCATACACAATAATTTTCAATATTCAAAATGTAGCAAAAAATAAATAAAGAACTTGTTGCTCTAATAAGAATACCATAATATCATATTTAGTACTTAAGAAGCTCAAATCAATATCATATCATATTTGGTTGCAAAGTCATTATCATCTCATTATTCTAGCATTATTTTTTTTTAGTAATTATGTGCCCATAATTAATTTATGAGATTGCCCATTATTTTTCACCCTATGGTTTTCAAATGGAGACATGGAAAGATGGCCATATTAGAATTTTTATTCCCCCACAAGACCACATTTGTTGGGGAGTGGGGAATCATTTTTTTTTTTTGTTGATTAGTGTGGAAGTGAAGAACCCAATATATCTCTCTTTCTTTACAAAAATATAAAATAGAGTAAAATTATGAAGCCACAAAAAATTAACTTCCAAGGAAGGCCACAAAAATGTTGTAAAATCATAAAAGTGGTTAAATATTTTATTAAAATACATATATAGAGAGAGATAATTGTGTTAAGCATATCAAAGTTATCTCTTTATAATAAACACAGAAAAGGCCAGAGCTTGTTGAGAATATTTGTGGGTCATTGATTTTAGCATGGGAGGTTTTTTTTTTTTTTTTTTTTTCACACACACAGGAGGATTAATACTGGTTCTCCAATTCCCCTTCAAGTGACTCGAACTCAGGATATGGGACAAACCGAGCGAGGCAAACTCGGGATATGGGACACGCCGAGCGAGGCGAACTCGGGATATGGGATACGCCGAGTGAGGTATGCGCCACTGCGCTAAAATGGGAGGTTACCCTGTCTCCAATGCTAATGTGTCCATTGACCTCTTCAATATTTTTAACAGTATATATGTGAAAATGGGAGAAGATAATTAACCATATGATTCTAATTTTGAACCTCATGAGTCTAAAGTTGTTAAACGAAACGAGACACTCGCTGGTTTACGACTCGGCTTGTTATGCTTGTCAAGATTCAAAAATAGTAATTTAATGTATTTTTATATAGATCGATTCATTAAGGTTCGACACGTTTATATCTCTAAAAAGATTAGTGAAAGTATTAAAAGAATTTATAATCTAAAGTGATACAGCTAAAATAATATTAAATAAATTGATAGTTATAGATATGTATCCCGATATATATAGAACATCACGATCAATTTTTGAAACAGAGACAATGTTGAAGAGCTTTTATAATTTGTAATATACTTATTTATTTAATAACAATAACAACCATAATTAAAGGTTCATAATCATAATGTTTGGGCTAATTTTTCTCTCAATAACTTTTACTAGTATAATTTATAAATTAAAATTTGCCCCTGATTGATGTTAGATGGGCTTTTCGGGTAAAATTTTCTGTCCACATTTTAGAAAAAAAGCAGGAAAAAGACGATGGGCACAGTAGTAATTGCAGTGTGTAATTATTTTTTACCTTGGGTTATGGATTTGTGGGGTTTGTTTAGTCTCAAGTAATGATGTCCAGTATAAAGTTGGAATAGTGAAAGTGAAAAAACAAAAAAATATCTCTGCTTTGGCTTTCTTTGTTCTTGTATTGAGTGCGGATTAAGCTTTATTCTGAAGTACAACTCCCATAGCCACAGGTCTTACCACAATTGTCAAAATGCTTTACCCCACTTGTACCGTACGGATTGTGTGTTTCATTTTTCTTATTTTAAGCTGGTCTGATAATAATGAATTGGGTTTGATCTTGTTCAAGACTCATTTACTTAAAAGAGAGGACCTCAGCTCAGCTCGTTCAACTCTATGAATATGATTTTCAATGCAATTTTATGAATTTATCACATATCGACTGGTTGAGGTTTGAGCCCAGTTAAGATTGTTTATCAACTCGTTAAGTTAACAAGTCGAGTCCAAATTAGCTCGATTAGGATCGAGCCAAAATTGAAATGTCAACAGCTCGAGCTTGCATCAACTCGTTTATACTACTAAATGGAAGAATTGGAGATAAATGGGCTTGGGGAAAAACTTGTGGAGTGTCAGATTTTGGGAAGTTGTGTGCAGACAGTGAAAAAAAAAAGGAATAGTGCATTCATATGAGACATGAGATAGAAGCCAAAAAGCCATTGCTTTTAGGTTCTCCTCACCTGCAATATGGCAAATAGTAGTAATTGCAATACTAAAAAATAATAATGGCATGTTCATCCACCCCAACAATTTATCATGCAAAAAACATTTATTACAAACCCACCCCAATTTAAGACGATTTCAAATATAATGATCAAGAAAATGACACACAACTAAAATTTAAGCCCAGCAAAGATCATTGGAGTAATTATGAAAGTTTTGAAGTACTGAAATTAAAATAAAAATCTGTACAGGCACCAAAATAAATGTTTTAAAAAAAAATGAAACAAAAAAACAAAAAAAAGATAGCAAAACGACAAAAAAAAAAAAAAAAA